GGTGTGTTAGCCAACTGTGTATTTCTTTGCCTTCCCCCAAATTACTTTTGTTTACAACAGGTATCTAAATGTCCTTATTACAGATCCAGTGTAAACATGATCACAGAGAGGGAGAAAATCATGAAACTGCAAGCCACCTCATTTGCTCTCAACATTCAGAGTGCTCTTCACTGTATCTACAGCAGAGAGACCACGGGGCATTGCCGCCGCTGCAAAGATTTTCCAAAACTTCTTCTCAGCACTTAGAATCCAAATTATAGTCAGTTGAGTAAAAGCCAGAGTACTTACCATTATTTTTTTAAAGCCTGTTTTATCACAAGAAGAAATACTTTGTCATATCTATGCATATTATTTTAAACAGTTGCCAGATACTTAGAGAAATCAATACTTAAAGCTAAAGAGAGTGTAAATGAACTGTTTCATATAAATATTTTATTTGGATATGTGAGGATCTGTGTACTATATCATCTTCTGGCACATCAGATAGATAGATAGATAGACAGACAGACAGATAGATAGATAGATAGATAGTAGACAGATAGAAAGATAGATGACAGATGATAGATGATAGATAGTATATATAATAACTGGGAAAGGTTTGATACTATACAGTATTTTAAAATTTTACTCAGTTCATTCTGAAATGAAACCACTATCATTTCAACTACCCTGAAAATACTATTTATCAATGTGTTTGTGCTTGAATGGCAGAATAGCAATCATAGTAAAATAGGGATCGGTCACTATTTCAACAATAAAAAAAAATGTATATCATTTACAAGAATATCTCCATAGTGATTTTATAAGGATCCCTTTGGAGTCTTCTTCAATTACTTTAATCATCCCTATTAACAGACACATAATATTCTCTCTCTCCTTGGTTTTCTTTACTCCTAATAAAAAATTTCTCACACAGTTTCTGACCTTTCCTCCTAGGTCTCATTTAGTAAATCATGATTTAATGATCAGTGAATCTTTCTCAGGTTTCCATATCCTCTTGAATTTTAAAACTCGGGATGAAAATCAGGCTTTATTTAACTTATATAGTGGTGGAAGTGATCATAAGCTAGTATCATGCAAATGATAACTTTATTATTAACATATTACTAATAATAAGCTTTTCGTATGAAATATGTTGCCCCGATGCATTTTCTTATTTTGAAATAGGGAGAGAATTATGTCAAGGAAAAGCCAGTCTTCTGCAAGAATTGTTCACACACTGAGGTATGTCCTTTGAGTCTCCTTTTTTTCTATCTCTAGATTTTTTAAAACAATTTTAATAATAACATAAAAACCATATAGCATACGTAACTTATGTATTTCATATATAAAATTTTCTATATTCTTTTTAAAACTTAGTGGAACAAACATTCCCTATTGGGTCCCCATAAAACTAATTTAATGATTATATAATATTCTATTAATTTTTTTAAAAGTTCAAGTATAGTTGATTCAAAATTATTATGTTAGTTTCGGGTATATAACATAGTGATTCAATATTTATATACATTATGAAATGTCCCCACAATACATGTAGTTACCATCTGTCACCATAAAAAGTCATTATAATATTATTGACTATATTCCCTATACTTTTCATCCCTGTGACTTATTTACTTTATAACTGGAAGTTTGTACCTCTTAATCCCATCTCTTCACTTCTCTTCCTTCTGGCAACCACCAATCTATTATTTTTAATGTGATTTAACTGTTTCCAGTATTTTATAATTATGAAAAAAGTTAACTAGAAGTTTTTGCCCACAGAAATTTTGCACATTTTTAGTCATTTTTTTTCTCAGAACAGATCGCATTAAAGTTTCTGATTTCAAATAAAAATATAAGGTTTACTAACAAATTACTCTCCGAAGGGATGCTATGAACTCACCTTGGCCCAGCAATGAGTTAGAGGGCTTGTCTCATCATACTTTCACTTGTACTGATTATTAGCAAAGAAATAAAATGTTTGATTTGCTTGATTAAAACAGCATTTCTAATTCTTTATTTAATTTGTAGATATTCTTTGGTTAGATTGCTACATGCATAAAAACCATGGTCTTTTGTGAACTGCTAGGTTTTTATTTATCTGATTGTTAAGTTATCTAATTATTGGTCTACTTACCTTAATTATGTATATGTGATATATTTATATATTTTTTAAAGAGAAAAGAAAAAATTACAAAAAACTATAGAAACTATAAAACTACATATTTTCTTTTCCTTATAAAAATTTCTTTCCAATTCAAAAGTCTGATAAATATTCAATTGTATTTTCAAACATTTTTTTAAACTGACTAATCTTTCTGAAATTTACTTGGATATTTATTGTAGTTACAGCTGTGCATTGATCTTCTACCAAATTATTGAACCAGCTGACTTAACACCCCTGCATGCAAAATTCTTCCATCTTTCTTGCCAAGCTCCTTTTTAAAGGTATTAAATTATTATAACTTAGAAGGTACACTTCTAGGCTGTCGATACTCTTTTACTGATTTGCCTGTCAGTGACAAGTCCCAGGAAGTTCAAATTATGTCAAATTAAATAACCACATTATTGAGTTCAAATAAATATTTAATTTTCTAACAATTTATAGTACAATGCGACTTCACATTTCTGCTTAAATTCTGAGGCGCACAAGATACTTTTGTGATTTCCTCTGTAAGTGAAAGAGAAAACCCAAATATCTCACTAGGCGTATTAACTCAATGTTATTTATACAACCCACTGTACTGTACTGTTTTTACATTATATACAAAGATAAAAATAGTAGCCAAAAGTGTGCATTAGCTTAATTAGACTAACAAGATTAATAACAAAAGTTGTCACAGGCTTTAGATGAAGAAAATATTATTTTACTTTAGTTAAAGTGATCTTGCAAGTAAATCTTGAACTAAAAAAACAAAACAAAACAAAACAAAAAAATCAGACAAGCAATGAGGTGGATAATGCAATAGAGACTACACCATTGAAAAAAATAACTTTAAAATACGGGTTATAAAACCTCTTTAAACACAACAATCAGAAACATCCATATGAAACTGCTGCTTGAATATTTATTAAGTAGAGCATGCAAATATTAAGGTTTTAGCTTTAAGAAGTTGTAAGTTATTTAAAATCATTATGAAAATAATATACCAACCATCTCTGGCGCTACCCACCATGAAAGCAGAAAAGAATAAAAAAGACATTAAGAAAATATTAGAAATGGCAAAAACAAAAACAGAAGCAAAAATACCACAGCTTAACATTATTTAACACATCACTAAATCATTCCAATACAGTGTCTCTCAAAGTTAGTTCCTACAAAAATCTGCAAATGTAGGTTTATTTTTAAAAATCTATAGAAATTTTTTCAGTCTTGTGAAAATTAAAAAAAAATTTAATAGAAAAGTACTCTTTGTGATTTGCATAATGCTTGAGAACAAACACCACCACATCAGTGCCCATGTTTGTGTTTGTTCTTATAAAAGCATTAATCCTAAGGAGCACAAACCTAATTGGTAAAACTAATAAAAAAGGAAGGGATTGATTTCATATGAAATAGATATTCTTGCTAAGTAATCATGCACTGTTTGAGTGAAAGTATTTCATAGTATTTGAAATATAGAAAAGAGGTAGAGAAATTGTACCACCAAACAGGATACATGCTGAAATCAATAGAAGTTTGACATCGGTGGTTTTGGTTTCGGCCAAATAACATCACCCATCGTGTTGAAGTTCTTAATTTGAATTTTATTAGGTATTGTAATTTTGCTTTCATTTAATTTATAATTTTTGAATTAATAGTTGTACAGGAGCTGTAAGGCTAAGTTATTTATAACTTTTTTGGTAAATATTTAAGAAGTGTTACAATTTAAGTCAATATAAAGGATTTAAAATAATTTTTTCATGTAAAAGAAAATTATCAATCACCCATCTTGAGAAATGCTGTTTGAACATATTCTTTGAAAATCTCAAGGCGTATGTCAAATAATCCAACTGTTAAGATGCAGGCATTATTATATCTAGAACAATAAGGAAATTCACAGAATACCTAGAAAAGAAGACAACTGCTTCACAGCTGTAGTCCAAAACGAGTGGAAGGATATTTATATTATCTTTCTAGGAAGGGGTGTTTCACCAGTATTAGAAGATCAGAATCCACTATTAATTGTTTTGTCCAGGAAATGAAGCACAGAGAACGAATCGCCTAATAAACGGGAATGACTCCTTCTCTTCGCTGCCTCTTCTCAATCAGCTTCCTATAATTGGTCTTTGCCTATATTCTACCATATAAATAGTCTTTTAGATAAAAAATAAGATATATTAACTTCACCAAAATGTAAAGGGCAAATATAAAGAGAAGATTTTTTTTTTCTGGTGCTTTTAAGACCATTTATTAATCACGGCCCACTGTAAAAAGAAACCAGTATCTCCAAACTTCCAGTACAATTGAGAATTGAAAAATAAAAGAGGGAGAGAGAAGTGAAAACCCACCTGGACTACATTACTAAAGAAGGTGTCACTGGGTGCCTGCTTTTCCAAAAAGAGTCCAGAAGTTAGGAACCACAGCTACCATGCCTCTCTTAAAAGAGACTGATTTTCCTCTCACAAAGATGTTCCTTCATCTACCCATTCACAATTTGAACTTCATAACTGATAAAACTGAGATGAAATCTTGTAAACCTAGTGAAATTACCTTGTAATTTTTGGATTTCAAAGTAATGAACCATTAAAATCCGTGTAATTTTGTATAAAAAAAGAACCAACTTATTGCCATGGTAAATCACACTACTAAAAACAAAACAAAACAAAATAAGACCCATCCTTAGCACATGTAGAAGTATTTTTAGGACTAAATGTATATGAATATTTTAAAGCAATTGTTTCAAGTAGGTTTTTATAGTGATAATAATTCAAGGAAAGGGTAGTTTTGGTGTGTCCAAATTTCTTTGTGTCCATTTTTTGTGTCCCATATTAAAAAGAAATAAACCATTTATAGGCCAATCTGTTAAAATAGTCACCTGCATTTCATCTAATTTTGATTGAATATCTGGAGGAAAATCCCCTGCTCCACAGTTAAATGGGTCAAAAGGTTCTGCTCCAAACAGGTCCCGTTCTAAAAGGAGGAAAATAATTTAGTAAATGAAATGACAAGAAGTGAGTTGGGGTGAGTTAGGTTTCCAAGGCAAGATTATATAAAGAACTACTCATATGGCCAAATGAGCTCCTATCCACGCACACTTTATGCTGGGCTTTCCTGAGCTTAGACCAACAAAGAAGCAAAGACCCATTTTATGACAATATTAAAAACTGTCTGGTTTCAAGGAATTATTATCCAGAGAGATTTCTGTGTCTTTAATTAAGACTCCTCAATATCAAATCCACCAAATATTTGAAATTACCGTATTACAATACCTGCATTTTTACTGAAGCAGTTTAAATTTACCACAATGAATGTATTACTTATTGAGACTTCTCTATTCCCTTTACTGATGCCTTTGTAACACAACAGATCATGAAGCAATATGAGGGACTGAGGTAGATTGGTAAATAGTTTTACTCATAGCTCATTATACCTTAATCTCACATTTATTTAGAGAAAATTTAAGGCATATTGTCTCATGTACTATGAAATTATATCACCTTCCTAAATAAACACAATGGGACAGGTTCTTTAAAAATGTCTCCTATCCCAGAAACAAATTTCTTTTTAAAAATAGCAATAATGGAATATCAAAAAGGTCTCTGTAACATATATTCTAAAGTACATACTTTTTTAACCACTAAAAAGGATCAAAGTTAAAATTGGTAAAACTATGGCCTATTATTTAAAAATTGAAAAATTATGAAATTTCTTTCTTCTGAATCAATTCCAATGCAGCCTTAATGCACACAATTTTTTAAAATTATATAGGTGCATGGGAATTTATAATATATTAAGAAAAACTATATCCTCAAAATTCCATGCTATATAAGAAGTAATATTTATGTTCCTTGAGTTCTACCATATCATGTAAATTAATCGGTGACCCTCATTATGAAAGACTCTTGCTTTTCCAGTTATAACTGTTTTTTTTCAAATTCACGTATTAAATAAGTAAAAAATTTTTATAAGTTCCTGGTGCTGATAAGTATTGTATAACTTATAAGAGGGACATATATATACTTTATCATCCAAATAAAGACACTTTTAAGAGTAAAAGGAATGCTACCAACAGTTACAGCAGGACAAAAGGTATAAACCAGAACTGTCCTAAACAAATGGGAATTTATTGTCACCTTATATATGAATATTATATATATGATATAATATATATAGGTATTATTTTTGGGTATGGGTGTTATTATTACTGTTGTTATTTTCCTCAGTCTGATGTAGCTTAGGCAATAAATCAGAACTTGGAGAACAAAGGAACTTTCCTTTGGAGGAGTACCCTGGTTACCACCACACCACAAGCCTGTCCAACAATGCTTTACACATGATAGATGTTTGTGAAAAGAAATGAATTAATGAGGGCGCCTGGGTGGCTCAGTCATTAAGCGTTTGCTTTTGGCTCAGGTCATGATCCCAGGGTCCTGGGATCGAGACCCACATTGGGCTCCCTGCTCCGCGGGAAGCCTGCTTCTCCCTCTCCCACTCCCCCTGCTTGTGTTCCTGCTCTCGCTCTCTCTCTTTCTGTCAAATAAATAAATAAAATCTTAAAAAAAAAAAAGAAACAAATTAATGAAAAGGAAGAAGAGCTGATCAAGAGGAATAGAGATTTTTATTACAGGCTTATCTCATTTTATTGTGCTTTGCTTTACAGTGCTTCACAGATACTGTGGTTTTTTACAAATTAAAAAGATTTGTGGCAATTCTGTATCAAGTAAGTCTTTCTGTACCATTTTTCCAATAGCATTTGCTATAAAGATAGATAGACATGGTATGGGGTATGTAGAATTCTATCATCTATCTATCTATCTATCTATCTATCTATCATCTATCTATCATCATCTATCTTTCATTGTATTTACTAAACTTTGGCACTCAGGATCATTAGATATTAAAAAATGTAGCAAGGTGTTAACTTCAGTTTCTCATTAAAAAATTCCTTAAAACTATCTGAGCACCTTTGCCTAGATTTTCTAAAAGCGTATCAAATTTATCAATGTCTAAAATGGAATGCATTTTCACCTTTTCTACCTCTAGTTTTCCCTGTTAACAACATTCAGTCTAAAATCCTGAGTCATAATTGATTATGAACTCTCAATTACCATCCTGATAGATTATTCTTTCTAAATATTTTCAAATCTATTCACTCTTCTCAATTTCTATTTTGACTTTGATTAAAATCCTCTTTTGTAGATATATAGCTAATTTATATTTCAAATTCCAGCTTATAACCCAAGTCTAGCATATATGCTATACAAATGCCCATTGGACTAAATAAATGAATGAGTAAACCAGTGGTTAAGTCCAAGGAATTAAAAAACAGTAAAGGAAGAGATGTGGGATACTCATAGACAAAAAAAAAAAGCCCCATTATGTATCAGGATATTGGCAACATTTGCTAAAAACACACTGTGGCATATATATTATAGATTATTTCCTGAAAAAATATTTTGCATTGGTACAAAATATATTCAGAGGAATTTAAATATATATTTCAATTTATGTAAAAGTACTGATATATTTTTGTAAAATGATTTTTAAAGTTTCTAATGTTATTACTTTGCATTTACAAATTAATTCTCTAAAATTTATTGAATATCTAACATGTGCAATATATTTTGATAAGTTCCATAGGGGGAAACAAATAAATTAAAGGCCCTGACATACTTTAAGCCCAAGCTAAAACTTAAGAGTTATATTGAAAATGTCTTAATGTGAATCAGAGAGGATGCAATAAAGCACAGTATGTAAAACTCTCTTTTCTTCAGTTTCCTTTGGACATAATGACTGAGCATGGCCATTGGGAACTACTCTTTAAGTTTCTGTGACAGGGCACAGATCAAAATACAATCACGACATTGAAAATGAGCATCTGTTGGATGCTTTCCAATTCATCAGTAAGAGACTCTTATGTTCCTTCCAAATGTATAGAAGGTAAATCAGAAAAGCGATGCATGTATAGTATTTTAGATATCAAGAGAGAACACTTATATAGGATTAATAAATAAATGAATCATGGAATTCATATATTTATGTATTTCTTTAAGAATATTCCTATACTCTATGGTAACAAAAAATTTACACTGAGCTCTACTAAACATGTCAAAAATATTAAAATAATTACCACCAAGTTGTTTTTAACCATTAAAACATTAAAAGTATAACCCCAAGTACAATAAAATATAATTAAATGCTTTGTATTGATATAAATAACCCTATACCAAAAATATCATTTTTCATAAAATAGTTTCAAATGCAATAGTGATGTCTTTAGTAGTATACTCTGAATTATAAAGTTAAATATGATTAGCTAATTCGGCACAAGTAGACATAATTCGTTGGTAATTAACACTTTTAGTGAACTTAAGATATGTAATTTTCCATAAAGTGTCAATTAAACATTTAAAATCTACACAAATATAGCAAAGAATGTTGGTTTAGAAGGCTTACTAATCTCAGTAGATCTGCTAGGTATTGGAGGTGGCTGTGTGCCGTTGTGAGCAGGCATCGAAGCTGGGTGTGATATTGGAGAAAATGGTATCATATCAAAGATGTCAGTGGAGGGTGACCTAGGTGTCACACTGCCCGCCTGCAATGAAAATAATGTGAATTAAGGCAGTATTTCAGGTAGACACATTATAATGCTAAATATTTCATATGCATAGAGAACATAGATAAACAACAACAAATTCAGTTGAATCATATGAACTTGCCGTTTTCTAGATCAAATGTTGGCAATTCCATATGATTTAACCAGGTACCAAATATTCATCGGAAAGAAAGCAACAGAAAATCTCTGCAACAATGGCCTTAAAGATGATGGCAAAAATGGTGACAATACTATTCTAGATAGATATAAAAGATATTAGATATTTTTGTATATCTAGAAACAATTGCCATTTGTATCAGAGAACTGAAAATATTAGAAACTGTATAAAAACATGATTTCACTATTATATTTTCCGTAAGTTGGAAACAGAAATAACTGAACATAAGTAATGCACCTTCTTAAATATGACCATTCAAATGCAATTGATAGCAACTTAAAAAAATTTCGAAGAGTATAAGTTAATTTGTATTTATAACTACAATGACAGTCAACTATTATACTCACTGCAGTGCCTTTTATTCCTGGGTAAGAGTTCATTAAGTTTTCTATGATAATAGCTACCTTGCAAAATAAATTAATAATCACTAAATATACTACCAAAATCATTAAATTATCTGGGTCAGTGTGGGTCAAGATGTAACGTAAGAATGAAACTATCGGGGGCGCCTGGGTGGCTCAGTCGTTAAGCGTCTGCCTTCGGCTCAGGTCATGATCCCAGGGTCCTGGGATCGAGCCCCGCATCGGGCTCCCTGCTCAGCAGGAAGCCTGCTTTTCCCTCTCCCACTCCCCCTGCTTGTGTTCCTGTTCTCGCTGTCTCTCTGTCAAATAAATAAATAAAAATCTTTATTAAAAAAAAAAAGAATGAAACAATCATCACTTTGTCATTCAGGGGGAAAAAAAACACACATACAGGCACACACAATCTAGAAAAGAAAGAGAATTCCCATTTTGGTGAGGAATAGTAAGCCAGGGGGAGGGAAAGGAGAAAGGGCTAGGAGTAGAAAAGTACTGAATACTGAATCAGAGTGGAGAAAGGAGTCTTCAAGGCCCTCCTAAGATGGCCTTGACAGAGGCATTTTAAAAAAGGCCATGGTTAAGGGCCTCCAGAAAGAAGGCCTCTGAATATAGGCACCAGGGCTAGGAATGCAGATATGCTATGCGGAAGAGCACAGCTGGCCTAGGGGTTGAGGGGCTGAGTCCTTGACTGCAACTCCTCCATACTGTGCACTGTACCTGGTGCGGGGAGGGCAGTTTCCCCCCGGGGGGCTTGGCAGGTGAAGCTTTTGCAATTGCCCATGATAGAGCCTGACAGGATTGGCCCTGGCGCGGGACTTCTCAACTACAGGTCACACTTCAGGGATTTTTAAGCACTAACAGGATTTTGAGGCAGCCAACACAAATTGGCTTTTGATAACCTCACAGTGAAAGGTAATAACCAAAATGATAGTTAGGAGAACCCACACATTTGAAGGAAGTTTTTAAGCTGAGTCACCTCTTTGCACATTTCTCAAAGCTGAGGGGAAAATAAGGCAGGGTGAAGTGAGAGATTTAAGTTGAGGGAAGGGTTCAGTGTGGAAGCAAAATCCCTGATGGTCTGAGTTATATAATTTACCACTCTATTAACATGTATATACAGTTATATAATTACTGTTTCCCCTATTGCTCTCCATAGTGATCTATCTGCAGATATGTAGACATGCATGCCTGTATACACATGATTTTAAATTCTATTTTATAGTCTATGCAGTTTACTGTACAATTTTGTGATTGGTGGCCACCTTCTACTTAATTTTAAGTGAGAACTGTAAGTTCCTTGTGCACAAAATTTTTCTAAACTTTATCTAAAAGAAGTATTTTCTTTTTTTTTTTTAAGATTTTATTTATTTATTTTGAGAGAGAGAGAATGAGAGACAGTACGAGAGGGAGGAGGGTCAGAGGGAGAAGCAGACTCCCTGCCGAGCAGGGAGCCCGATGCGGGACTCGATCCCGGGACTCCAGGATCATGACCTGAGCCGAAGGCAGTCGCTTAACCAACTGAGCCACCCAGGCGCCCTAAAAGAAGTATTTTCTAAAAGCTATATAACACATCAAAATACTAGACATATAATAAAATGTCAATGTATATTTATTGCCTAATTTATACTAGAGCAACTTTTAAACTTAAACTATAAATTGATAAGAATGTTTATAGTGAGTGAAGCATGATTTTATGTGGAAGTTGTCCTTGGTATCATCTGGTTTATAACATAAATGAAAGTACTCTATATTATTATATGGCTTATATTAGCCCAAAAATCTTAACCAGATGCCTCAAAACAAACTGAGGGCTAAAATAAGCTAACTTATAAGTGCTCTAGTATTTTATGATAGTGCTAATACTATGCCTTCTACTTACTCTGAGAATGTATACTTATACAGATGAAGAATGTATGTAATATGAAAATAATCAAATTTTTAAGTACTCCACTTAAGAGGTATTTTCACTTCCAAAATGGCAAGGCTTGGATATCTATAAATAGTTGCAGTATCCAAAGTTAAAGACTCTAACACTAACCACCCCAGGTTTCCTTTGGGTCATCAGTAATGTAGATTTGGTCAACTGGCATTTGTTGCTCGGGTCACACAGATCTTTTGATATATTGAAATCAATTGCTTGCAGGTAATGTTAAGAGACTGCACATTAAAATCTGGAGCTTTTCTTGAGAAATTACGAAATCTAGAAAGTGGGCCCACAGACTTGCATGAAAATAACTGGTAGTAACTGTTGTGCCTTTTAAGTTGGGTATATGCTCTCCAATTCATCACCACCACCACACATCCATTACATATTTATGTCACAGCCTGGGCTCTGCTGATGTCTGAGTTTGTGATTCCTAACTTAGAAATGATTCAGGTCAATGAATCATGGAACACTACATCAAAAACTAATGATGTAATGTATGGTGATTAACATAACAATAAAATAATTTTTTAAAAAAGAAATGATTCAAGTCAAGGAATTAATTATTACATCTGTTAAATATTTTGAGTGGTGTTTCTAAATTTAGGTGGTCAGGAGCTAGTCATTTTTTAAGCTGCCATTTTTAACTGGTTGAGGATATTTATTTTTTAAGAAATTAAATACATAGAAGAGCTTGGTATTTTTGTGTCTTCTGTCAGTATTTTGACAGATGGCTAAAAACCAAAATTTCTGGACTCTCCTACATTCATGGCACCACGGTTTAGTCCTTTATGCTCATAATTCCAAGTGCTCTGGTCTTTATGAAGGTGCACAAGACGTGATCCCGTTCTAAGGGAATAAGGAGTTCTATGTTCAACCATTACATGTTAATTACGCAGACATTGTTAGGTTCTTAAGGCCTATTAATAATGAGTGCCCAGGGGCACCTGGGTGTCTTACTTGTTAAGCATCCGACTCTTAATTTCAGCTCAGGTCATGATCTCAGGGTTGTGAGATCGAGCCCTGCACCAGGCTCCATGCGGGGCCTGGAGCCTACTTGGGATTCTCTCTCTCCCTCTGCCCCTCCTTTCTCTCTCTCTCTTAAAAAAAAAAAAAAAAAAACAGGAAAAAAAAACAACGAATGCCCATATTTGAGATTCATTGTCATGGTTTTGTAGCTTGCTCTTTGAGGAAGTAGTGGCTTGGGACATTCAGGCCATGGTGAGTATTTCAGCCTTAGTCTTTTCTAATTATGACAGCAATGATGAAGTGTTATAAAAGGGTTTGAATTCTCAGTAAATGTCAAATACACTCAAACAACAATAAACAAATTGCATTAAACAGTTCTTTGGTAATATCTACAGAAATATTAGAATGATACCAATTTTATTTTATGCTGTTAATTGTTTTGGTAATATAAATATCCAAATACCCTTTTAAAATGTAAAACACACAACTTTAAGATTAAAATATGATTTATCATAATTATTTAAAAAACTCTACTTAGAATTAAATTTACAAAGTAAATTACTTAAATTATTTAAATTTATATTTGAAATATGATGTCTAACTTTTTCCAGTTGAAAAACTGGTAGATTACAAATAAAACTAGATGAAGAAATACAATGGTGATGCAAAACATTCTGGCAAATCTTTCTATGCTGCCATGCTGATTCACATTCTCAAAGCTCACTATCACGTTACATTTACGACATCACTTTTTAACCAGTAAGTTTTAAAAGTAATAACTTCCAGTTTAGAATTTATAGCATCATGAATGCATTTTTTCAGATTTCTAGATTCACAGTTTGGTTATATTGGTCTCTTACTTGTAAGACCTATTATCTTATTTGTTCTTCCAAGAATGCCACAAGTTAAATGGATAGGATTGTCTGCATATCCAAAGAGGAAAACTGCAACACGAAATTAAATGATTTGATCAGGTACTCATGGTCAAAATTGGAACAGAATATATTTTTCTTCCCATTAGACAGAGTTTACTTCTTCAGGATCGTCTTTTTTGCAAGTAACAATTATGAAAATGAAGCCGTGAACCGGTAATCATTTTTTGTAGGCAGCAAATGTTCTTGAATCAATGTCATGTTTAAAATTTATGCCTTTGTTTAAAGATTCACATTTGGCTTGTTGTGTAACTGAGAGTTTTCACAATCTGCTCTTGCCCATCTTGATTTCAGTAACAGTCGAGAAAACACTAGAGGAAGATAAATAGGCACTTTTGTTTACCCACAATGAAATACACATTTTAGGTTATAATTGCCCTATCAAGTCTAATCAGCGGCCACACAGTTGATTATGTAAAGGTAGAATTTTATCCAGTAACAAACACTTGGTTTAATTGAAAGGGAGACATTTATTTTACTCAGCAATAGAAAGTCCAGTACTTCTAAGGACTACAATTTTATTCATTTAACTTCCTGGCAATAGTCTGATTTGGTTAAAAGCATCTATAGCCAGAAAAGTAAAATGTAAGCATCCAGATACAAGAATCAAGAGGAACAATCTGATTTAACTTGCTATG